CGATGAGAGTGATGACAAATGCCGAACAAGCTATTATTGTCATTTTTGTTATTATTATCAAGGCTCGATTGTGAAAATCATGCCGGAGCGACAGATGTAGTGGTCTGGTTTTGTCAACAGCCCAGTTTACACCCTATCTGCTCTTATTCCTATTGTTATCATTATCAGAATGCGTACTTTTTACACTGTATCCAGAAAACCATGACAGGACAATCATTGTGATGAAAAAAACCATGGTTTTTTCGTCGAAGTCCCGACCCGACTGATCGCGGTTCGAGTCCTGACAGGGACACAAAAAGTACGCACTGCTGACGAGTCCCAAACAGGACGAAACAGCTGTCCAGTGCTCTTTGTTGGTTATCACAAACATTTCCATCGCATCTAAATGCATCCAACTAGTGGGAAATTACCGATCTCACAGGGAGTGAAACTCACATTAAACATCGTCAACAGAGATTGGCGCCTATGAAAAACCGAATAGGCTAATCCAAACATCCACCGTCGAAAAACGAAGTCATTCCGATTGTTGAAAAGCAGTCATAACTAGTGATTATGGTTCTCAGTTCACACAGCCTTAGATTACTTTGCATAACGGGTGGTGGTGATCAGGTGATTTGATTTGTTATCGTTAACCTGCTTTTGTTCATTCGGATACGAGGTTTGAACCCCGACCTTGCTGTCGTCCTGTTCAGTATCGTTTCCTTCAGCTATCCTTGTCGGGCCTATGTGATTTGCCAGGCAGTTCCGGGGTTTAAGTTGCCCATTAGCGTGAGTGATCCTCGTGACAAATGGGGTTTGGCCGACCTATTTCTCATTACATCATGATGTGGGAGCAAAAACGGGGTTTGCAAACAGTCTCAGCGTTTAGGGTTTTGAATCCAACTCAGTTCATGCGAGTTGATCACTCACTTGGTTGGCACCATTTTGATTCGCCAACTTGGCCGGACTAGACCACGAGCTCGTGTCTACCGAGGCCAGGATGGTACCACTCGGATCCGCCGTCACGTGACGGATGTCAATCAGATGCAAGTGTCCTTGAAGAGTGCCAACGAGAAGGAGGTTGGAGGATAGCCATGTTAATGATCTGAGTCGTGGGTGCGTATGTGTGCAAAGGGGGGGGGGAGAAAAGTTCAATGAGAGTCTGAACTCACCAAAATGAGAATGGAACGACAAAAAAAAGTTTAAATGGAAATTATTTCAAAATGAAAAACGATGCACATATATATTTCGCTTCTTTCAGTCTCAAATTTTTTTTAAAATTCTGTGAATAACTAACGTTAATATTTTACTTGGTCCAATCTAACTACTCACAGTTCCAAGACTCGTGTAGCACACGCGGGACTAAAACATTTGTGGCGTTGACGTGATATTTCATTACAGTTGAAAGGTTGTACACATTGTGCTACAATCCTACTTTAAAGTTGTGGAAAATGGATTTGCGAGTAGAAAACATCTATCGATTAGAAGTTTTCGACTATCGATGTTTACGTAGTTTGGGAAGTCAGTGAGCGGGTTATTAACTAATTCGTCGTGTGCTTGGGAATTTATCGGGGATAAATTTGTCAGCCCATTCAATCCAGATTAACAGGCCTTGTTGGATAGGGAACCTGTTGCGCATACCTGGTTGTGGTCTGTCGCAGTGTGTCTTATTCGCAGTAGCTACTGCACGCTGAAGGAACCCATGTGGAGGCCAAAAGATGACATGAAAATGAGGCATGAACCACTAGACAGAGTAGGTGTCTCTCATATTCCAGGTTAGGGTCCAAAAGACTCCGTAACTGATTGGTTGAAGCCAATTAGGGATATAAAAGTAAACCTATAGTGATGGCGTCCTTATTATTATCGCTGGTCAGACCGGAATACTTGAAAGTGTCTATGAACACTTGAACTGTGTACTCTGTGAGCTGACCATAGAGGTTCGTTTCCTCAAAATAGGCCGAATCCCTATCCGTCTTGCGCAGTCCAAATTCCATTTCATCTGTTTACCGAGCTTGGGAATTTGTTTGCAAACGTTTCATCACCAGCCGAGGTGACATCATCAGTGCTTATGAAGTG